GTGCCCCGGCGGGGCCGGCATGTGGACAGGGAGCGCGTACCTGGATTACTTCGCCGCCGAGTGCCTAGTGGCCATCGCCGCGGGCGCTGTGGTGCACGGCCACCGGCCGGACCCCGAGGGCGCGGGCGCCGCCACAGCAGGCGTCCAGGAGGGGGAGGCGCGACCCGAGCGCTCTGGCCTGGGACCCCCGGGGCCCGCAGTGCTGCCTGAGCTCTCCTGGGCCCCCGCACCCAACCCAGGCGAGCCAACCACGGCTGCGTCCCACCTGTTGGCTGCCAACGTCCTGGCAGAGTGGCGCGGCGCCTTCGAAGAGGGCTCTGCGGGGCCCGCGGGGGTCCCTTCCCCAGCTCCTGTCCCTCGAGTCCTGGGGCCGCTTGCCACCACCAGACCAGCTCCAGCTCCTGGTGCAGCTGCACTATCTGACCCGGCGCGCTCCTGGGCTGCGGGTTCTAGCGCATCCTCCTACCCTGGTGTTTATCCAGGTATCCCGGGTCCCCTGGGGGTCCGGCCTACTCCCACGGTGGGTACAAGCACCCGCAGGCGGCCTGTCACTCCCGCTGCCAAGCGCCACCGCTGCTCCTTCTTGGGCTGCAACAAAGCTTACTACAAATCATCACATCTGAAGTCCCACCAGCGCACCCACACAGGTGAGCGGCCTTACTGCTGTAACTGGCTCGACTGCGACAAGAAGTTTACGCGTTCTGATGAGCTGGCACGCCATTACAGGACCCACACAGGTGAGAAACGCTTCTCCTGCCCCCTCTGCCCCAAGCAGTTCTCCCGCAGCGACCACCTGACGAAGCACGCCCGTCGACACCCAGCCTATCGTCCTGACATGATAGAGTACCGGGGGCGTCGTCGCAATGCCCAGCCTGCAACCCCAGGGGCCATCTTGGAACCAGGCCAAGTCAACGACTTCAGCACCTGCTTGTAGACCTGCTATTGCTGCTAATTGCCCACTCAAGGACAATACCCCCTGCTTTCCTACTGTGCGTCCCCTTTCTCCAACTTTACTAGACCAAGGTACAGACTGGTTCCTCCACTCCAGGGGTGAATGCTGGCAGGCATGTTGGACTCTGGAAAGGGACTGGTGTTGAGAAAACAGCGGGAATTTTTGCACAAGTACCTCATCCTAAAAGGAGGGGTTGCCTCAAAACAACCCCCAGGAACTGGTGAGAAGGCATGATCCTGGTGCTCTCCAGAGTCCTGAAGATGTGAAACTGGAATTCTCAGGTGTCTGGGATCTCCCAGTCTCAAAAAACTCAGGTGGCTCACCCACCCACCAGGGCGGACCTTGGAGAGGGTATCAGGGGTGGCAGTCTTGGCAATGCTCAGGACTGAAGTGATGAGAGGCCTTTGGAAACAGAAATGATTTCTATTTCTGTAAACAGCAATGTTTACCAATTTCTTTTTAGTCACTTTTAAATAGGGATTCAGGTTATTGGAGGCTGATATCCATCATTCTCCAGTCACTCCAGCTTCCTCTGCTAGGGAGGCCATGTAAGCATCCCTTTGGAGGTATGGGTAGGAAATGTGCTTTGTTGCCTGGAGGCTGTGTGAGCCTGTTTGCAGGTCCTGTTGCATGGGATGGGCCCCGTCACTTGGCTTTGTATCTTTCTCCCTTGGTGGAGATAGTAATTTTCTGTTCATTCACAGCGTAAGAGTTCAACATTTTATAAACAATTAGAAAGAAAAGGGTAGTACAGGTTAGCCCCCTTCCTGCAGAGAGCAAATCCAAGTGACTTTGGGGTGGAATGAGCCCAGCCCCAAGTAATCTCAAAGACAGCAGATTCTGTTAATTTCTTAGTGACTAACTAGAGATTTATTTATTTATTGGGGTCGGTGCATTTTTTTTTTCTGAGATAGATGAGCTGATGAATAAGGAAAGGAAATGTGAGAGACCGACTTCTTCCAGAAAGCAGGTTGCCCTTGATCAGGGAAGGAGTAGTAAAGTGGCACTGATGTTGTTAGGTGCCATGGAGTTGGTTATAACTCATAAGGACCCCAGGCACAGCAGAGCAAAACAGTGCCCTACCCAGTGCCATCCTCACAGTCATTGCTGTTTGCACTCACTGTTACAGCCTCTGTGTCAATCCACCTTGCTGCCAAACATATTGTCCTTCTGCAGGGACCGGTCCTTCTAACATGCCCAAAGTAAGCGGGATGAAGTCTCAGTATCCTTACTTCTAGGGAGTATTTTTATTGTACTTCAACCTGGACAATTTTATTCTTTCTTCTGGAATTTTATGATATTCAATATGCTTTACCAATATCACAGTTCAAATGCATCAACTCTTCTTTGGTATTCCTTATTCATTGTCTAACTTTCACATGCAAATGAGGCAATTTAAAATACTAGGCCTTGGATCCAGATACACCTAAGTCCTTAAAGTTATGTCTTTGCATTTTAATGCTTTAAAGAAGTCTTTTTGTAGCAAATTTGTCAAGTGCAATATACTATTTTATTTCTTAGTTTCTTCTTTCATAAGTATGGATTGTGGATCCAGGTAAAATGAAATCATTGACAATGTCTGTCTTTATTTATTGTGATGTTGCTTATCGGTCCAGTTGTAACGTTTACTTATATTGAGGTATAATCTGTACTGAATGCTGTATTCTAATATTCATCTTTAAGTGCTTTGAATCGTCTAAACTTTCTGCAACAAGATTGTCATCTGCATAGTATAGATTGTTAATGAGTCTTCTTCTGATCCTAATATCATGATCTTCTTCATATAGTCCAGCTTCTCAGATTTTTTGTTCAGTATAAGTATAAAGGTTGAATAAGTATGGTGAAAAGTTATAATCATAATGTATACCTTTCCTGATTTTTAAAACACACAATATTCTCTTGTTCTATGGAAACTACTGCCTTTTGGTCTATGTACAGGTTCTGAATGAGCACAATTTAATGTTCTGGAATTCCCATTTTTGCATTGTTATCTATAATTTGTTGTGATCCATGTAACTGAATGTTTTGTCAATAAAAACTGAATGTCAATAAAACATAAGTAAACCTCTTTCTGGTATTTTCAGCTTTCATTGACATTAGTGATGATACCCGCCGTTCCGCATCTTCTGATTCTAGCATGAATTTCTGGCATTTCCCATTGATGTCCTACTGCCCCTGTTTTTAAATCATCTTCAGGATCATGTTCTTTGTGTGTGATATTATTTTATTTTATGATTTCTGCATCCTGTTGGATCACCTTTCTTTCGAATGAGCATAAATACCAGTCTCTTCCAGTCACCTGGCCAAGTTAACCAACTAGTCTTCCAAATTTCTTGGCATAGACAAATGAGTTTCTGATGTTGTTCCCATTATAAATTTCTGGCATTCCTAGATTCCTGGAGCCTGGGGTTAGTATTTTTGTGGGGTTTTTGTTTTATTTCTCTCCCTAATACCTTTAGTTTAACCTAGAGTCCTTTCTTCAATATTATAGATTCTCGATCATATGCTACATTCTGAAATAGTTGAACCAATTCTCTTGGTAGAGGTGCCTCTGCATTTTTTCTCTTTTGTAATGACTCCAGTGTTTAGTATTTTGCCCTTGTTATTATTGTGGTGCCATCGAGGCAATGCTGACTAATAGGGGCCCTTTGTACAACAGATCAAAACCTTGCCTGATACTGTTTTAGGTGCTGTCCAGTCAAGTACGACTCATAGCTACCCTGTGACCAACAGATTTGAGCCCTGTCCTATCCTGTACCATCTTCATCATCTCTGACACACTTGTGCCATTGCTGTAGTCACTCTATCAATGCGTCTGTTTAAGGATCTTCCTCTCTTTCATTCTCCAATGAATTACCTCTCCTAATAGCTTGCCCAAACTATGAGATGAAGCTTTGTCATCTTTGCCTCCAGGGAGCACTCTGGCTGCACTTTCTCCAAGACTTATCTGTTAGTTCTTTTGGTAATCTATCAGATGTTCAGTACTTTTACCCTAAAGCCCTGATACTATACCACCCTAAAAAATCTCCATGCTATTTAAACCTGCTGTTACAGTCACTGTGCCAGTCTGTCTCATGAGGATCGGCTCTTTTACTGACCCTCTTTTTTTCCGAGCATGCTATTCTTTCCAAAGAAGACCTTTATTGATGACATGCCCTAAGTATGTGAGACTAATTCTCATCATCCTTGCTTCTTAGGAACACACTGGTGTACTTCTTTCAGGACATTTTTGTTTATTCTTTTAGCAATCCATGGTATCTTTAATACTCTGCCAAAGCCACAATTCAAAGGTACCAATTCTTCTTTGGCCTTTCTTATGAATTAATATCCACGTTCAATTTTCACATGTATATGAAATAATTAAAAATACCATGGGATGGGTCAGGTGAACCTTAGTCTTAAAAGTGATGTTGTAATTAAGTGCTATTGAGTCAAGTACATAGTGACACACTATGAACAGACCTGAGCCCTATCCTATCCTTTGCCATCCTTATCTCCGATTCACTTGATCAGATATGTGTAAAACCATTTCGTTGAGTCTTTCAATAATGAGATGTGAGGCTTGACTTTTTTCTTCAGTTCTTTCTGCTTGAAAATCACTAAGTGTGGTCCTTCCCTTTTTGTTTTCTAAATCCAGATCTTTGCACATTTCATTATATGTTGTTTTGTCTTTAGAATCTTTAATTCACCTCTTTACTTAATCATTTCTCTTATTTATTTTGACTGTTTTACACTCAAGAGCAAATTTCAGAGTCTCCTTAACATATTTTTTTTTCTTTTCTTTATCCTCTGTTTCTTTAATGGCCTTGTCTATTTTTTTTTTCTATATGTTTATTTCATTGCACAACTTACTTGGTCTTCAGCCATTAACATTCCATGGGCCAAATTCATTTTGGGCATCGCTTCTAAATTCGGGTTTTCATTTTCTTCAGCTTCAGCTTGAATTTGCATATGAGCAATTGATGATCTGTTGGTTCCTGGCCTTTTTCTGCTTGATAATGTTCAACTTCCACATTGTTACTCTCCACAGGTGTAGTCAGTTTGAGCCCTGTGTGTCCCATCTGGTGTGGTTCCCATTTGTAGTCGCTCTGCATGGTTGAAAGGTGATTGTTTCTGTGATTAGGTACCATCAGGTTGGCTATGACTCATAGTTAAACTGTGGCAACAGATTGAAACCTTGTCTTGTCCTGAACCATCCTCACGACCTCTGATCTACTCTAGCCCATTGTGACAGGTACTTTGTCAATCCATCTTATTTAAAGTTTTCCTCTCTTTATCCAGCCCACCACCTTACCCAGAATGATATTTTTCCCCCAAAGACTAGCCCCTCCTGACAACATGCCGAAAGTATGGGAGAGAAGCTTCATCCTCCTTGCCTCTAGGGAGCACCCTGGTTGCATTTCCTCCAAGAGGAAATATTTTGTTTGTTCTTTTGGCGTTCCTTGGTATACTCACTCAGTAGTCTTCTCTAACACCACAGTCCAAAGGACTGATTATTCTTCTGTCATCCTTCTTCATGGTCCAAATTTCAGAGGCAGAGCAAGCAACTGAAAATACTATGGCTTGGTCTTTAACAAATTCTCTTTAGCACTTTGCAGAGGTCCTTGAATAGCAGATTTTTTTCCCAATGCAGCATGTCTTTTGACAGTTATCAAATGGGAAGACCCTTCTCCTCTAACGTTGGAGACCCTAGAGTTTAAATACTCAGAAGCCACCTTCCTCTGAGTGGCAGTTAAGCAGCAACAGTTTTGAATTTTTCTCTATGTCTTTGCTGCTATGAGTAAATCATCAACTACTCTGATTTTGTCCCTTTATTAGTGGTGAAGTGAAAAGACATTTAATACTCAGGTGAGCTCCCTCTGGCCCTCTTTTCTTTAGTCCTTCACTCACACCTTGTGAAGAACCTATAATCTCATAAAACCACTGCAGGCATTTAGTCGAACACACCACCTTCCTCATTTTCCTTATCTACAATTTGAAGC